TTTAAATACTTTAACAAGCTTTATATTTTTGCTTAGAAATCCACTGAATGCCTCTTAGACATTAACTGTAAACTAGGGCTGGGCCATTTGGCAAAGATCTTGCTAATTATTTTCCATGTTGAACAAAACGATTGAAGTCAGAATTATTAGCCCCCCTGAATTATTAGCGCCCCTGTTTATTTTTTTCCACAATTTTGTTTAATGGAGGGAAGATTGTTTCAGCACATTTCTAGGCATAATAGTTTTAAAAACATATTTCTAATAACTGATTTATTTAATCTTTGCCATGATGACAGTAAAAAATGTTTTACTTGATATTTTTTAAGACACTTCTATACAGCTTGAAGTGACATTTAAAGACTTAACTTGGTTAATAAGGCGAACTAGGCAGGTTAGGGTAATTAGGCAAGTTATTCTATAAAGATGGTTTGTTCTGTAGATTATCGAACAAATATATAGCTTAATGGGGCTATTAATTTTGTCCCAAAAAGGGTTTTTTAAAAATTAAAAACTGCTTTTATTCTAGCCGAAGTAAAACAAATCAGACTTTCTCCAGAAGAAAACATATTATCAGACATACTGTGAAAATTTCCTTGCTCTGTTAAACATCATTTGGTAAATATTTAAAAAAGAATAAAAAAAAAATTGAAGGGGGCTAATAATTCTGACTTCAACTGTATATTTCAATATAAGCTGTTAATGCTTCCAGATTTAAATGAGTACCCCAACAATGACTGAAGCCACACAAATTCAGTACATCTCTAATATCAACACACTTTTAGATTCCCATTGTTGTACATTTCTGCTGCGTGATTGGCTCTTAGATCAATATAGGGTAAAAAAAAAAGTCCAGAGCTTGTCATTGTTGTTGACATTAATGATTCAATATAATATCGTTTATCGGCCAAGCCCTACTGTAAGTGTATTATTGTAAATATTTGTTTTATTGTGGGATGAATAGAAAGGATTTTGCTGAAATTATTTGCATGGCACATCTGTCATTGACTTAGGCAAGTTAGGGTAGTTAGGCAAGTCATAACACATTGCTATGTGTAAACTAATGGAGTATATATCTTTTAATTTCACAATGAACTTATTACATTTAAAAACAATCCCATTGATAACAGAATGGACTTATACTAGTCAGGCTGCACTGGTTTTTGCTTAGATTTGTCATGTGACAATATTTCATTTCAGTTTGCTTTTTTGTAGCTCAGCAATAAAACAAACAAAATAGGTTACATTAAATTAAAATCTACGATATCTGTTAAAGGTATTCTCTCCAACCCTTCCCATCATTCTTACTCTTCTCAGATGGGATGGTGGGCCAAGTTAAAGGAAACCATGGGCCAACTTTGGCCCGCGGGCCCTAGTTTAGGCATGTCTGCTTAAGGGGGTTAATAATATTGACCATAAACTGCTTTTAAAAAATTTAAAACTGATTTTATTGTAGCAGAATAAAACAAATAAGACTTTCTCCAGAAGAAAAAATAAATATTATAGGAAATACTGTTAAAAATTCCTTGCTTTGTTAATCATTGCTTGGAAAAAAAAAATAATTAATGGGAGGGCTATTAATTGTGACTTCAACTGCATGTCTAGGATTAATATTTTTGTACCTGCGCTAAAATTTAATTTGGCTCACAAACACCCTGATTAGTTACTCTTTTGTTTTTGTCTGGATGTGGCAGGACCTGAATAAAGCCACAGCTAGGGGTGATCTGGAGGAACAGAGAAGACTTCAGGCCCAAAAAGAACTGCTGGAGCAATACAAACGAGACCTGGAGCAAGAGAAAATGGTAATTTTTCTTCTCATGGAGAATGATTTTTTTTTTTGCTGTAGTGTTGTTTGCTTGTAAACATGGCAGGAAACCCTAACATAGATGTATTATAAATAAAATGTCATTAGCTGTGCCTCCATCACCCTGTGTTAATGCACGTTCTGAACTATCACAAGTGATGGAAAATTCTGAATAGAAATACAAAATTTTACACAGTTTTTGGTTTCGGACTTTTCGGACCATTAATGCTAATAATGATTATTTTGTACACTTGATTTATGAACATTAGTTGATGTAATTATGAATGTTATCTTTAAACTAAATTAGTTAGGTGAGGGAAATATGAAGTTAAACAACAGTATAAATTGCACTAAATTGCCATAAATATTAATTTACTGTCGTCAATTTTAATTCTTGTTTACTGTAATTACTTGTATTATATCAGCCAGGGGTGCTTTTCCTAAACAACGACTTAACTTGCAGCTGAACTATCATAGTACGATGCATCTTTTGGGAAAAGGATGATGTAGTGACGAGTGTCTCCCAAAACACATAGTCTCTCTGTCGCAGATCTATCGTTTGAACCACGTTAGTTATAGCGTGAAACGCCCATAATGATGCTCTAAACGGGGTGGAGTAACAACTTCTTTAGACAAGAACCCATAATTACTTTGTGCAAATTAGATTGTTTTACACGCACACGCATTTAAAATAAAAATCCAATTTTAGATTTGGTAAAAACATGCACTCGCTTTCCATATGAACTAAAATATATGTTAATGGCTCATATAGGATGTTTCCTTTACAAATATTATTGAGAAGATTACATATCCTATTCTAAAACATAAAATCACTTACAAAAGCTAACACGTATTCTAATATCATATATAAAACATAAAAATATTTAATAAGTAATGAAATTTAATATTTATTTTTATTAGGAAATAAAAAAAATATTAATAAATTACTTTATTAATAATATGAAGAATATTAATGATGACGATTATTATTATTATTATTGAGTAGGATATTGTTTATTTAATTTTTTTTGAAAAGTCTACTTTTACAAATTGAACACATGTAAGCCACTGCAGAAATGTGCTAACCGACAGGCCCATGTCATATAAAGTACAGATACTTTATAAATAACCTACTATAAAATGTAAACAAATAATGTATGCTATGTTTTTTGTTTTCACAAGTTTTGGAGACGTAACATGAATTCCGCTTTTAAATAATAGGTCACCTAAAGCTTTCGTCATGAGGCTGTCTCCAAAATGACGTCAATGTTTTCAAAGTGCTCTGCAAAGGGAGCACAATTGTAAACATGAAGATCGCTAAAACTGAACTGTAAAAAAAGTTTGAAAGGAAATTACAGCTAAGAGAGATGACCTTAATGCTTTTTTATTTTGAATCATTCCAAGTTTGAATGTTATAATATTATTAATGAATATGGCATAGGGGGGATAAGTGGGAATATATATATATATATATATATAAGCCAGGAACTATGTTTCTAACTACAGCTCCAGAGGTGTAGTTGCAAGTGCACAAGTTTGTGACGCAGTTTGCAAATTTTCGTTGGAACGACGGATTTGGGAAACGGAAAATCAACAAACTATGTTTGTACTGACGAAACTTGCGACCTTAGTTGGCTAACGATGGTTTTGGGAAATGCACCCCTGATAGATTTCTCAATATCTGCTCTAACAAATGCTTCTGCCTGCTCGCTGGAATAACCAATAAATCATTGTTCCATATTTTTTCTATATTGTCAAAAATATTGTTTTAGCCAATGATCACCAGAAGGGGGAAATGCCAGAGTAAAATGAGAAAATATGATACGCCGGTGTTTTGGAATATGGAAAAACTGTGTTTATGCTGTTTTCATCTGTTGTTATATTATTTGTTTTTATTTTGTTTATACTTGTGTCTTTTATTTCTGTTTATGTAAAGCACTTTGAGTTGCCACTGTGTATGTATGTACACACATACACACACACATATATATATATATATATATATATATATATATATATATATATATATATATATATATATATATATATACATATACAAATATAAATGTGCTGTATAAATAAACTTGCCTTGCCTTGACTAAAGGTGTATCAAATCGTGATTTAGCACATTGCTTAGAAGATTAATTAGGATGTTGCTGTTCTGCAGTTGCAAGATTTGTTGGTGTAAAACAAATTATTAAAAATAAAACCATTGTTTCTTAGGCTCGAATGCAAATGGAGGAGCAGGTGATTGAGAAGTCGAATGAAGTGGAGCAGTACTGGCAGCGTATGCAGGAACTGGAGGAAATGTACCTTCAGCTCAAACAGGCTCTGCAGGATGAGAAGCAGGCCAAGGAGGATGAAGAAATACTGCGCAAACTGCAGGCCAGGTAACAGTACACAAACTCAGACACACAATCGCAACAGCTGCTTCCGTTCTGAACCATTGTATGTTGTCTTGTTTGCAGACTGCTACAAGAGGAGGAAAACAAGAGACTTGAATTAGAGCAGATTCACCTGCAGCAGCAACGGGTCTTATCCCAGTCCCAGAAGGAGAAGGAGGAGCTGGCGAAGGAGCGGGAAGAGAAGGAGCGAGCCCTGCAAGCGGCACAGGAGCAGCTGGAGAGCCTGAAAAGACAGAGGGAGGGAGCGGAGGAGGAATACATGGTAGCAGATTCACTTGGTCACACACACACACACACACACATACAGGGGTCAGACAATGAAACTGAAAAGCCTGGTTTTAGACCACAATAATTCACCAGCATAGTGTAGGGCCTTCTTTTGTGACCAACACAGCATCAGTTCATCTTGGGATTGACTGCACAGTGGCCAGAAGGCCTAACGATATAGGTCGTTATGATAACATTACATGCCTTCAGTGATTTCCTGAAGATAAATACCAAAAAAATAGCACAACTAGAAGCACTACAGCAGTCGCCATCGTCTGATCTCACATGAAGCAGCTGCTCCTAGGAGATCGCGAGGACATATGATGACGTGTGCAGGTGCTGTAGTGCTGTCCTAATTCTTAGGGGTAAATTTCGAAGCCGTTCCCCTTCACCCTCGGTTGTAATGGCCAAGGGGAAGGGGTAGGGAGAGAAAAATAGAATTAGGATTGGCTTAATGCTCAGGTTTTTTCTGTCTTTTTTTCTTTTATCAGGCTGTAACAAAGAAACTGGAACGAGCAAGTAAGAAGACAAAGACCTGGAAACACAAAGTCTCTAAACATGAAGGCCTGCTTAAACTCGTTCAACCAGGTGACTGAGTGTAAACTTTCTCAAATAACTGATTCTATAGCCCAAAATCACAATTTTTTATGTTTTTATTTTTTATTATATATATATATATATATTAGGGGTGTCAAAATTTATTGTTTCTTAGGTGCACCGCGATGCAGACGCGGACAATTCGGTATCGGTTCAGTAATAATCATAACCAGTTATTATGTACTGACGTCATTTATCTCCTATGCTCTCTGTCGCGAGGGAGGTGAGCGCGAGTATTTTCAACACTCAGCCAACGCAGGGCCGGTCCGTGGCATAGGCACCATAGGCAAATTCTAAGGGCGCTGTATATCCAGGAGGGCGCCAGAAATGAGCGCGGTTCAGTTGGTTTTGTTTTCGATATTCTTGATACACATTCAGTTACAAACGGCAATAACTCAAAAACCTTTTACCCTAAAAAGATCTAAAGTGTGTTTCCTACAAAAAGACAAAGCTGGTTATGTTTCACAGCTGTCTTTCTTTTTTTTCGCTCCACACTACGAGCACTGCCCTCGCAATATGTGTTGAGCCGGGATAGCTCGCGCTGAGAGGAGCTCTCAGCAAGGGACCGTGGGAAAAGTGCTTATTTTTTTTATTTTTTTATTTTTTTCGTTTTTCTGCTCCGCTCTTAGCGAGCTCTCCCTGTTGCGAGGGCTTAAGTGTGTGTGTGTGCGTGCGTGCGTGTGTGTGTGTTTGTTTCTTTGGTGCTGTCTATGTTTGTGTTTGAATGAGAGACAGTGTGGTGCTGTGTCTCTGTGTGTTTATACAGACAGCTTGTTATAGCCTCTAAAATATAACACTGTATATGGAAAGCATCGTCGATGCACCGTGATGCACCGAAATATCGAATTGAACCGAATCGAAGGCATGATAATCGTAACCGAACCGAACCGTGAGACCAGTATAGGTTCACACCTCTAATATGTATATGTATATGTATATATATATATATATATATATATATATATATATATATATATATATTTATATCTTATATATTTTTTTTTCAGGCGGCAAGACACCCAGTAAAATGACCAACTGGGGACAGGCGGCGTTCACTGAATCAGAGCTGAATGAACTGGAGAAGATGTGGCAGGTGAACAAGAATAGATCAGAAGAAGAGTAACACCCCATCCAACCAATCCCTACATTTGTGTTTATTTATTGTATATTTACAAGGCAGTCCTCATACTGGTCACATCTGCTGTCATTGTCATTGCTGTCATATAATCATACTTAAAGGCATAGTTCGCCAAAAACGCTTCTTATTTCCTCATCTTAAGTGCTTACAAACCTTTATAAGTTTCTTTATACTGTTGAACACAAAAAGCAATTTTGCAGAAAGTTGAAAACCATTGACTATGTATGGATTAATACTAAGGAAGTCAATAGTTTTCACTTCAAAATATAATCTTCAAGAGTGACACGGTGACTCAGTGCTTAGCACTGTCGCCTCACAGCAAGAAGGTACCTGGTTCAAGTCCCGGCTGGGATACATGGCATTACTGTGTGGGGTTTGCATGTTCTCCCACTATTGGTGTGGGTTTTCTCAGGGTGCTCCTATTTACCCAACAGTCAAAAGATATACCCTATAGGGTAATTAAGTTAAAAGCATCTGCTGTGTAAAACATATGCTGAATAAGTTGGCGGTTCATTCCGCTGTGGCGACCCCTGATTAATAAAGGGACTAAGCCGAAAGAGAATGAATGACTATATTCTTCTAAAAATATTCTTTTGTGTTCAAATGAAGAAACTCAAACAGGTTTGCGGGCTGTGTAAAGAGTAACATAATTTTCAGTTTTGGATGAACTGTCTCTTTAAATTGGTTATGAATGATAATGCAGTTTTAGTTTGAGTTAAAAGTGACATTCACAAATTATTAACTTACAAATATTGCTTTTTTTTTTTTTTTTTGAAAACATTTAGAAAATTCAGATTTTTAATAAGTAACAGGAGGCAGATTGGAATTATTAATGCTCCTTTTTCTAAAGCATGTGGTTTATATGTTCCTACTGTGTCCACTAGATGACTGTGTAACATCACTAGATGATCCACAGACACATGCGAAATGCTTTCATAACCACACTTTCTAAAACCTGGAGTTACTGGCAGACCAAATACATTAACTGAATGGATTTTGCATGCAGCTTCCATAATTAAATGACTAAATGTGCATTTTATATCATATTATTAAGTTCCAAAATTACTAAAGGCAGTCATGGAGCTATATGATGGCTATAGATTAAATTGAAAGCAAATTATGCACACACCAGAAAGCAGTGAACATACTTTGCTATTGTGGTGTATCCTTCTTCAAACTTAATGTACCAAAAAAAGGTAATCCTTCAAGGTAAGATGCATTAAGAATATATATTTAGCTTCAGTTTTTTTTTTTTTTTACTCTTTCAAAGTTCTGTGTGTGAGAAAATATGTAAAGAATAAATAATCATGTAGTTAATGATGGAATTATGTGATTTGTTTTGTCTTGTTGCAATATAAAGTTGTGAATTTACACTACCGGTCACTACCGGTCAGGGCTCAGTGGGATTTTTAAATGTTTTAAAATAAGCTTCTCCTGCTCACCAAGGAGATTTATTTCATCAATAATACACTACAGATTATAAAATAGTGAAATGTTATTGCACTATAAAACAACTGTTCAGAAGTAGTTTATAATAACATTATATCATTTATTCCAGTCATTTTAAAGATGAATTTTCAGCTTCATTACTCCAGTATTCAGTCACTTGATACTGCCGAAATCACTCTAAATATTAATTATTATTATTTTATTATTTATATTATTATTAATGGTAATAATAATAAAAGCAATAATGACTGGAGTAATTATTTCATTTGAATATGAAGTATATATAATAAAATACTATATACAATAAGAAAGCAGTTATTTTAAATTTCAATTTAACATTTTTTTACATTTAATAAATGCCGCCTTGATGAACAGAATAATTTTATTTACAAAAAAACATGATAAAAAAAAACAACAACTCCTGATTAATAAAGGGACGAAGCCGAAAAGAAAATGAATGAATGAATGAATATGAGTATGAACACACACAGTGGGATTTTTAAATGTTTTAAAATAAGCTTCTCCTGCTCACCAAGGAGATTTATTTAATCAAATTACACTACAGATTATAAAATAGAGAAATGTTATTGCATTATAAAACAACTGTTCAGAAGTAGTTTATAATTTACTATAATCATTTATTCCAGTGATTTAAAGATGAATTTTCAGCTTCATTACTACAGTATTCAAAGTCAGATGATCCTGCTGAAATCACTCTAAATATTAATTATTATTAATAATATTATTATTAATGGTAATAATAAAAGCAATAATGACTGGAGTAATTATTTCATTTGAATATACAATATATAGTATATACTATATACAATAAGAAAACAGTTATTTAAAATGTCAATTTAACATTTTTTTACATTTAATAAATGCCGCCTTGATGAACAGAATAATTTTATTTACAAAAAAACATGATAAAAAAAAAATATAAATATATATAAATTATATATATAACTTATTTTAAAACATTTAATAATCCCACTGAGCCCAAATTTTTGACCGGTAGTGTATATGAAAAATGTAAAGTATAAAATGTGTGAAAAATGTCTTGCTCTGTTTATCATTATTTGGGAAATATTTGAAAAAGAAGGGCTAATAATTTTGACCAACTCTATGTTGACCAATATAAAATGATTAAATTAGTCCCAAGCGACTCACAAACATCTCCGTTAACAATTCGTGCGTTGAACTTCCACTGAACTTTGTTGTTCATGAAAGGAAACTGAAACTTGCTCTATAAACGCTGACGAGTAAGAAACCGGATTCCCCCAAAACATGTCCTTGCAGCATAATAAAAGGCACACAAAAGACACTAATCCTCTCAAGTGCGTGTCAAAACAAACAGGGCTACGTTACGCTGCGTCTGTGTTTGTGCCCACGTGCGGTTCCTAACGTGTAATACCTGCAGAGACTATTGCATTATCTGACATCATCTGTGGGTTTCAACACAACAATTGACAGACGCTGGAGCCGTGACACTACAGTCATGCTGAAAAACTTGCAGCGATGCAAATGAAAGGGCAGCAGTTCATTCTTAGGCCAGAGCTGGTATGGATGACAGGCCTCGACATGAGCGTTTTTACTCGCTCCGAGGTCATCGCCATTATAAATTCTTGGACAAACACTTACCAAGTTACAAACACTCATTTTACTGAGGAGTCAGTAGTTTTGTTTTAAGGCCCAAATTTTTCACCAGTGGTGAAGCTACAGGTGGACTAAAGCCATTTATTAAAACGGTCACACTTTACAAAAAGATTTGATTCAAACAAGTAGTTTGAAACTACTTATTTAAAGTGAGCTGAAACAACACAATTCTTGAGCTTTTTTTGGGGGACAACTTAATTGTTTTAAGTTCAATCCACTTGAGTTTGTAAAAACAATGAAATTAACATAATCGATTTGTGTTGGGACAACCTGAAGGAACCCTGCCCCATTAAAAGCATTACCTGATAGATTGTTGGTAATATTTTCTGAAGATGACTGTGTCGAGGGGGCGGGGCCGAGAGCCGTGGGAACAGCGTAAGGGGATTCACCTGTATCCCGCAACGGCCTCGAATCCCACGGAAGGAGCTCTGGACTATAAGAGTAGGAACGATGGCAGTGGAAGCCGAGAGAGGACCGGCCCGAATTGTTTTACTTTTTTTTCCCGTTTGTTTTGGTTTAGTTTTTTTGGTGAAGTTTTCAAATATTTATTAATATTTGAAAACTTCAACGGTTCTCCGCCTCCTCCTTCCCGGTGGCCAGAGGGCCGTAAACTTCATTACAATGACCATGTCGCTGTTAGCTAAATAAATTCACGCCTTCGCCATTTGCAGTGCATTAAAACATTGTTTTCCAACTGCAGCCGTGCTTTATTCTTGAAATGTATAGCTTGTCCTAAGTGATTCATACACACCATATAGTATACTATGACCAGGGATACAGTCAGTCGGCGCAGTCGGCCCTCCATAGTAAAAAGTGACATTTTGTGACTGCTGGTTTGTTTACTTGCGCGAGTTCCATTGGCATTTTCCTGAATGTTAATTTTGATCGAAAAGCAGTTTAGGAAATACATTCAAAATCATCTGGCCAATGAGTGATGTGGATTTTGTCACATGACTGTATTGTGGTTCTTTTCAACTGGTTCGGACCAAAGCCAGCAGTGTGGTGTAAAAAAGACCCAAAAACAGCAGAAAAAAATGCTACAATGTATCATATGTTGCCCTTGATCCAGACCAAATGAACTGAGGGTGCTTTCACACCTACACTTTTGTTTCGGAACCTGTTTTGTTTGCCCAGTTAGCGCGGTTCGTTTGGCATATGTGAAACCACCAATCGCTCTCGGATCCACGCCAAATCAATCACTCTGAACTCTGGAGCGGATCGATTGCAGTGAGAAAGCGATCCTGATCAGAGCGCGGTTATATCACAGTGTTTTATGGATATGTAATAGGCATACGGCTGTATGAAGAGAAAATTATGAGTAGGGTAGGAAGTTTCGCGAGTCTCCGGATGCCCACAAACATGAGTGATGATCTCCCGGTAATCTCGCGTCTCCCTCCCAGTTCTCAAATAGACTACGTCGCGCACCCTTCTCACCCCTCCCCACCGCATCTCTCCTTACTCTTTAGACACGTCGCGCGCAACTTGTCAAACACCACCAAACCACCACCTCTCCTGACAGCTGAGCGGAACTAAACTAAACCCTGACACTCTGACCAGTGTGAGAACAGTTTACTCGCACGTGACTTGTTTTAGTTCTTTTGGTCCGATTAGAAACTTTGCAGTGTGAAAGCAAACCACACAAGAGAAAAGAGCAAAAATGTAACAATTTAAACTCTGTTTCGGAACAACTGAATCGATTCACAGATGTAAAGCACCCTATGTTTCTCGGGTGGCCTGGGAATACCTTGGGATCTTCCCGGAGGAGCTGGAGGAAGTGTCTAGGGAGGGGTAAGTCTGGGGTTCTCTCCGGAGACTGCTGCCCCCGCAACCCGGCCCCGGAAAAAAACGGAAGAAAATTAATAAATGAATAATTATGAAAGTAGGGCAGCACGGTGACTCAGTGGTTAGCTCTGTCACATCACAGCAAGACGGTCACTGATTCAAATCCTAGCCGGGCCAGATGGCATTTCTCTGTGGAGTTTGCATGTTCTCCCTCCTGTGTAAAACATATGCTGGAAAAGTTGTTGGTTCATTCAGCTGTGGTGACCTTTGAAAAAGAGACTAAGCCGAAGGAAAATGAATTATGAACGTAACACACACTGAGAAGGCCAAACTTGTAAAATCTGCATATAAGAGCTTTCCAAACTACCTTTACACCTCAGAGCCTTTGATCACTGTCAGTGAACTCACACAGTCTCTCTGAAGACGTGCAGCAAGATGCTGGAGCAACAGCTGAGTGTGTAACACAACAAATACCAATCATACAGATCCAAATTACAGACCACTACTTACAGCTGTGCATACACAAATCTGTGTTATTTTGCAGAAAAACATCACAGTTTTGCTGAAATACAGTTTTAAAAATCCACAATTTAAAGAAAAAAATTAGAAGCTGACTAAAGTTTTTTAATTGAATAACTACACTGTGAAGAATGCTGGCTTCCACACTACTCCATGTTGTTCCAGCTCGTATTGATTTAGTTTACTAGTAAGTTTTTGACCAGTGTTGGGTAAATTCATTCATTTATTCATTCATTTTCTTTTCGGCTTAGTCTCTTTAATAATCAGGGGTCGCCACAGCAGGATGAACCACCAACTTATCCAGCATATGTTTTACGCAGCGGATGCCCTTCCAGCTGCAACTCATCACTGGGAAACATCCATACACTCTCATTCACAGACATACACTACAGACAATTTAGCCTACCCGGCATGTACTGCATGTGTTTGGACTTGTGGGGGAAACCGGAGCACCCGGAGGAAACCCACGAGAACACGGGGAGAACATGCAAACTCCACACAAAAATGCCAACTGACCCAGCTGAGGCTTGACCCAGTGACCTTCTTGCTGTGAGGAGAACATGCTACTGACTGCGCCATCGTGCTGCCGTTGGGTAAGTTACTTAAAAAAAGAAATCTATTACAAATTACTGATTACTGCTGGAAATTTGTAATCTGATTACATTACAAATTACTTCATGTAAAAAGTAATCAGATTACTAATTACTTTAAAGTTACTTTTAAAACATATAAAATATACCAATAAAAATACAAAATAATCCGCAGCTCATTCAGTTATTTAATATTCACTGAGAAGCATTAGCCTAATGCTGATCACAGCAGCTGAGTTGGCCCAAAACTTCAAATTCTCTCATCATTCACTTGTTCTAAACCTGTTTAACTTTTGAAAAAAAAAACATTTAGAAGAAAAC